TCACGCTCGTGAAAAGGATTCCCTTATACCGTGTATTCTTCTTAGATCTCGAGGCCTCAAGCGCCGTCCTGATAATACGTTACATAACGTTAGATTGTAATTAATTAATGCAGTAATATAATAACGCATTTAAAAATTGCAGTACGTACTTGATTTCAGTCACTTGATTATCGATGTGCTTATTAATCATTTGCCAAATTGTATCGAGCGCGCCGGTGGACGTCTGAAGCCACTCCTTCAACACAGAGTGGGCACTCTTCACCCTACTGGAAGTTGTGTTTCCAAAATGTGTCACTCGGTTGGTCCAAGCCTTCACAAACTTCTCGCGGTGCCCTAACCATGTGCCCTCCACATACCGTATCACCTCTGGGGACTTTGAATATTTTGCGTACAGCTCGGCAACGGCATCGATGTAGGCATCGAACGTACTGGCCTCTGCAATCGCCTTCCACGTATTGTGCGTGAAAATCTCCGAGAATTTCTTACTCTTCCCAAATAGTTTGTAGGTTCTGGCTTCCACATCCTTGTTGATGTGCCACGTGCAGAGTAAGTGGGCTAATTCAGGAAAATGTCTCTGAATAGGAGTGAGTAAACCCAACTCTCTGTCACTGACAACAACATAAGGATATACGTCTTGGCCTATCAGCAGTCTCAACTTCTCTAGAACCCAATCGTAACTGGCCTCTTTCTCGTCCCTGATGAGCGCATACGCAATTAGAAAGTTCTGGTTGCACGGTGTCATCCCAATCATCTCGACCAACGACATCTTGTACCTGTGCAAATGAGACCAAGAAGACAAAAAATATAATCAAATAAAAGTTTACTAAATCAAACACACTATTTAAGATTCATACTAATAAAGTATTTATAAAGTAACATACCTGTTGGTTTTATACGTGGAATCTATGCCGACATACCAGTGATATGTCCGGAATAGATTGATCAACGCAGGACGGGCCATGAATATATGCGTCAACGCTTTCGTGTTCGGATCGGATTCTGCATAAACTGTATACTCGCTGCTCACGGCCAAATGCATAAGCTGGGAAGGAACGTCTATACCGTCGAAACTCTCTTTCCGCAGCTTACCTCTAAAGTTATATACCTGTCACCAATTAACGTTAGTTATAATGATTATTATAATTTAAAACAAAAAAGAATATTATATTAATAAATAAAAAAGTATATTAATGCGATTAATTTGATAAAAAAATTATTAACTATCACAATAATAATACATTAGTAAATATAATAAATTTATTAATTATTACAATAACTTTTACATATAAACAATTAATAATTATAATAATGAACTTCAAAAAGGTAATTAAAACATATATTACAAGATATAAATATATATACCTGTCGAACATGAACGTTGTCTCCCGGATTCTTTTCCTTCAGCGCGGCCATATTTTTTGCCGGGGCCACGTGAGCGTCCGTCATATCACGAACAATTTTCTTAGATGAAGCGCTGAGGCCGCTCAACTGGCGATGACCCTCAGGATACACAACAAATGTATGGTTATGGTAGCCCTTCTCTTCATTGCTACATCTACAGATCCTCCAGTATGGAGCGCCGGACACCTTTTTTACTTTGGTCTCAAAATTGCAGCCGCACTTATTCTTTTTTGTCTTTCTAGAATTTCCGCCTGTGCCTCTGTACCGTTCGCCTCTATGGCACTTCAAAAGCCTGACCGTTTTCTTTTTGTGGCTCGAAATTATTAATAGGAAACCATTCAGCATTGCCTGGTGTTTTGAAGTTTCAATAACGTCCTGAGCACTATTATATAATGTACAGGTATCGAAACGCAGACTGTAATCAACACCATCTCCTCCAAAATCTTCCCATGACTCCTGCTATATAGTACAATATTTATATTTTTAGAACATGTTAAATTAAGATAATTAATTTTAGCATGTGACATAATAATTTCCAACTCATAACATGATATTATCTAACGTCCAATTTATAGCATAATGAAGTCTAACATGTAACACGATCACGATAATATCTAACGTCCAATTTATAATATAATCAACTATAACATGTAACATAATAATTTGTTACTCCTAACACGATACTATGTAACGTCCGTCAATTTATAACATAACCAAGACTAACATGTAATATAATAATTTCTAACTCGTAACACGATAATATCTAACGTCCAATTTATATTATAATCAACATGTAACATAATAATTTGTAACTCCTAACACGATAAACGTCCAATTTATAGCATAATCAAGTCTAAAATGTAACACAATAATTTATAACATAATAATATAGTCTAATTTATAACATAATTATTTCAAATATATAACATAATAATTTAAAAAAAAAAATCGTCCGGCCGGCGGAACTGGACGGACCAGTTCCGACCGGCCGTCGTTTTCGGACAGCTTTTAAGCCGTCCGTCCGGCCGGTTCGGACAGGGCCCGTCCGACCGGCCAGACTTTTCGGATGACTTTTAGCCCGTCCGGACCGGCCGGCCGGACGGCTTAAAAAACGTCCGGTTCCGGCGGCCGGACACATAATTTTTTGTACCTCCGAATTTGACGACATTTCACCGTGCACTTTTCTCTGAGATGTTTAGAAAAAAATGAAAAGGGCAAAATCGTCCAAGGGGGGCGGTGACGAGTAAAATGGGGGGCGGTGAATAGTACCACCCCTAAAATAATCTACCAGCCTGTCACACACTGCACACACTAATCTACTCATATCTCACACACTGCACACACACTTAATACACACACTCACACACTTACATATACACACCCAGCCCGCCGGAGACTGCCGCTGCCTCCACCGGTTTCCGCCGCACCTCAGTCGGCCTCCACCAGAGATTGCCGTGATTCAAGAGATTCATCGGTAGTGCCTCCGCCATGCCCCCGTCCGGCCTTCATCGTGGTTGCCGTCTCCGGCGTCGACATTCGACCGCCACTCCGAATCTGAATGGGTGGCGCTCTGTCGCGCCTGCAAAGCCGACGTCCACTGTTGCCGCTCCCATCTCCTTCTCCACATGAGACTCCAGCGAGGAGCCCTACTAGGTGGAAGCTCAGGCTGTCTCGTGGTTCACGTCGCTGGGAGGGGGATGGCGGCGGTCGGGGCAGGATGACGTCGACGCCGACGACTGAGTTTGGTAGCCGCAAAATTAAGGCTGAGATTGGGCGAAATTAGGGCTGAGATTGAGTAAAGGTGAAATTGGGGCTGAGATTGGGCGAAATTGTGGCTTATATTGGGCAAATCGAGGCTGAGACGGGCTGAGATTGGGGAAATCGGGGCTGAGACGGGCTGAGATTGACGGAATCGGGGCTGAGATTGAGCTAAGGGAACAAGTGTTTAATTGTTTTGGGGCTGACCTTATTTTTGGGAAATTAGATATAATTAGGGGACTAATTTGCAAATTTTGAACTTTTAATATGTGTATAGTTTACTTAACAGCAATTTATAATTTAGTAGAGATTAATTTATGCAAAATAATAACACATTATATGCAAAATATTTTGCCTAAATGTGCACTTTAAAAATTATTGTCATATGTATACGAAATTATTAAAAATTTGATAAAAACACCTTTTTTTCGATAAGTGATTTTCACAATATTTGTCTGTAGATATGTTCTCTAAAAGTAAAAACAAATAATCAAAACGAAAAATAAATTTTCGAACTAAAAATTTCGACATAATCGGTTTAATTTGTTGGTCAACAGAAATAAATAAATTATATTATTTATTCTAGAAACTTGTGTAGTCTTTGATATTCTTTATTTAATATTATATGTATGATTAAAAAAATAATATATATGTAAACAAAGTATAATGTGCGATCTATCAGTTATTAATGTGCAATTCGTTCAACACTACGGCGCATGGTGTCGGTATATATGCAGATTGAACTGAACGAACTTTTGTTCTAAATCAAATTGAAACTGAACATAAATAATTGTTTAATCGGTTCGGTTAACCGAATTATCCTAACAAATCAAAATAATTTGTTCTTTATACTAAAATTATATTTAATATGTTAATAATATTATTTATTTTGTTATATTATTTTTTGGTTGGAAAAATATAATATATAAATACCAAAATCAATAAAGTACAAGCACCCAAACACAAATGTGCATATAATAACCATTTGTGTGCATTCTATTGATCGAGTAATTTTTTTATGTGCATTTCAAATTTAGGCAAATTTAATAATGTGTATTTTAATTAACATTATTTTACACTTATATAACTCCTATAATTAAAATATATTTAGTAATTTTGATTTCTTATTAAATATTTTATAATATTATATGTTGAAAATAAATTATAACATTTTTTAAATAAATTAATTCCGAACAGATTAATGTGCATTTCGTCTAACGCTATAGTGCATTCTGATATTCACTAATGTGCAAAATGATTAATAATATTGTGCATTAAATTTTAGTTTTTTTTAATGTTCAAATTAAACTATACAATAGCTGAAATAATTTTTTTTATTCAGTTGATTAAATTAACCTAAATTGATGAAGTATTTTATTATTTATATTATAAAAATATATTTTAGTAATTTAATATTTTTATATATTTATTATTATTATTATATTTAAAAATGACATAATTTATGTATGTATAAAAAAATATATAAAGAATAATATTATTTTATATATGTTTCATAAATAGCAGATTTTGCCCATGGGTGAAATTGAAATATATTAAAAATTCTTAAATTTTCAATTAGATCCCTGTGAAATATCAAATTCTCAAAACATGGCCCTCAAACTCAAATCACGTTTCAGGTGTTCCCGGCCAATTCGGCCGTCGTCCTTGCCAGCTCTGTTCAGGCGGGGTTGTCGGCGACACTGAGGGAAGTGGACGGCGGCAGGCAGGTGCGGCTGTGCCGTGCTGCCGAAGGCGGAGGAAGCACTGTGGTAAGTGGACGGCTGCGGGGCAGAGGAGCGTGTGTGTCGGCGCGGCGGCGCTGCATCGTCGGCGGCGGAGGAATGGCTTGGAGAAGTGAAGATCGGCAAGTAGATGGGATTTTGTGGAGGCACGATGGCGCGGCGACTGCGGTCGGCCGATTGTTGGAAGTGGGACGACGGGACATACCGTTCTTCTTCTTGGTCACCAGCGACGCCGTATTGGAGCTGCGGCAGATGATAAGAATCGTCGGCGACAGCGTTCGTTTTCTCGGGCATCAGCGACCGGCGACGTACGACTCGGTGGCTGCGGCGCTGTGTGACGGCCGGTAGTGAGAATTGTCGATCTCTGTGTGTGTGTATATGTGTGCCGTGTGCATGTGTATGTATTTGTGCGTGTGTGTGTTAGTGAGAGAGAGAAAGCGTGGTAGGTGAGTTTGACCAGATTTTATGGTTGACTGTGGGTGGGTGAGAAGTGAGAGAGAGATGGAGAGAGAGAGAGGTGTGACAGCTGGTGCTTTAATTGGGGTGGGGTCCACTGGGTTGGTGTATAATTGATGTATTAAATCTCTAAAATACCCTTAATGAATGTATAAATGTTGTGTTTGTTTAATCCGTTAGATCACTCAATCCGACGGCTAAGATTTATTCTTATTTCTGTCACTGAGCACCATTATCACCGGAGTGCATCCCTATATGTAATAAATTCCCAGAGCTTAGTTTGGTTGTATGTAATTACTAGGAATTGAGCTACTATTTTTATCATTTACAATTCTTTTCGACTTATGTTGGTAGATGATGTACAAATGCAGTTTTAGTGATTTCCTAACGTCTCCTAATTCGAATAAAAATCTTAAACATACGTGAAAAGCCCACATCACCAAGATCACTCGACATTATATATATCCACCGCAAGAATTTCGTTGCTCAAGCTCTAATCTATTTCATTCAAGGTACACCGGAGGCTCATTGAGACCATTGTTGGCTTAGGCCCGCACTGGAAAAAAAGTAACTATATATATACAGAGATGCGCTCTGGTGAGAATGATGTTCAATGAAAGAAATCAGAATACATCGTATCCATCGGATCGAATAATCCAACGGATAAAAAAAACAACTCTTGTACATTCATTAAGGCTATTATTGACAATTTACTCAATACCACCATCCACCTGGACCCCACCTAGCCACCTACACATCCCACCACCTCCCACTTCTCTCTCTCTCTCTCTCACACACACACGCACACACACATACACACACACACACACACATACACACACACACACACACACACTCTCCCGACTGTGTGCTCCAGAAATACAGACCCCGATTTTCCGTCGCCAGCTTTCGGCTCCTCCAGCGGCTGCACGTCCGCCGCCGCTCCAACTCCAGAACCAGCCGTCGTCCGTCAATCTCCATCGCAGAGCCGACCGAGCCCTCCGTCTCCACTGTAATCCAATTGCTGCTGTGAGACGCCGGCCCGCACACCAGACCTCCTCTGCGCAGCTCATCGGCGCCTCCGTCGCCGCACGATTTCCAGTTTTGGCGGAGGTCCTTCCCGGCAAGCGACCTTGCGCGGATGACGGTGTCCCCCGAACCACTGTTGCACTTCCTGTTGTAAATAGTTTTCCGGAGTAGAATCAAAAGATTCGAACACCGGGTCGTGTCTCTCGAGGAAGGCGGTTCGGAATTTAGCTTTGGTAATGATAACACATAAAAAGAAAACAAAATCCTAAACACTCTAATCAGATAGCAGTATGGATGATTATAAACTAAGAAATAATAAAAGCAATAATCTACCAAGAATATAAGCTAACAAAGATAAAGAAGCTAGGGACTCGGGGATAATTAATTCAAGTTCTAGCAAAGCCGGGCAATCAATTGTTCGGTTCGAGATTGACACTCTTGCTTAAACATCTAGCGGTTCGCTCCCAATAACTTTTCGTAACAAGGGATTGAACATAGACGAACAAGCTCGAGCATACAACACAGGCCAATTGTCCCAATCCCAATAACTTTTCGTAACAAGGGACGGGTCATCGACAAGCACGTATTTCAATCTCAACCCATAGATTATTCAACTACGAAATCATCTACCTCATGCGAGCCTAGGTCTACGACTTCTCTCCTTTCGGTTCTGAAAGTCGCTAATTAACTAGAAGGTGATTAATCGACTAATCATATAGAACTGACAAACCCTAGCTCGATAAATTAACATTCAATTGTTTCCAATCGCAAGATCGAAGTGTCACTCTTCAATTATATCAATCAATCAAGCACAAATTCATCAATTCTGAATTAATTCAACTCACATAAGCATGAACAATCTTGAGCCCGACAATAACGAAATTAATCAAGAACAATCATCCCCTATCCCTAGCAGAAGGAATTAGCTACGTAAATCAAATTCAACAAATATAATCATTCTACTCAAGTCAACCATTATTCATGAATTAAACAAGAGAAAGAAATACTTACAATCAATCCAAGTTCAAATGTTGACTTTGAATTACAAGCTTAATCCCTAATTAAGAAAAAGAAGAAGAAAAATGGAAAATAATGATTAAGAGAAGAAAAGGAACGAGGAAGAAGAAGAAAGAAAGGGGGAGAAAGAGATTTTTGTGTTTTCTCGGGACTAGGGTTTTCACCCCGGTCGAGAGGTGGTCCCAAGGATTTTTCCCGATTAAATATATATAGTTGCACGTTAGCACGGCGTGGAAAGATGGCGCGGCGTGAGAGAAGTGCGCTTCGCGGCGTGGTGGGGTGTTGTGCCGCGGCGTGGCGCGCTGAAGGCTGGGAGCTGCAGTCGGGGTCGTGGCAGGGGCGCGGCGTGGTGGATGAGCGCTCCGCGGCGCGGCAGGGCTTCGCGGCGCGGTGAAAGGGCGCTCCGCGGCGCGGCAGTGCTTCGCGGCGCGGTGGATGGGCGCTCCGCGGCGCGGCGGGCGCGCGGGGCCTGGACAGCTCGCACTACTTCACATTTTGGAGTCGTTCGGGCTCGTCTGGTATCGGAATTGAGTTC